TTATTATTAAGTCATGAGATTGGAGAGACACACACACAAGTCTACAAGATTGTTCGCCAACTGCCTGCAGACAAAGTCATTCCCATCCTTTAGTCTTTGGAAGGAGACACTCTAGAGATAAACTCCCAACATTAAAAAGCTTGCTGGCCTGTAGTCTCCTACCTATTTTAATTTGCAGACGTCGGAACCAGCAATCCTTGGCTTGTAGCTACCAACACAAAGACTTTTGCTCCATGGACACCCACTCTTCACAGAGATCTGAGATGAAGAGTCTAATCCACTACCTGTTCAAGGCATAAATCCAAGAAGATTTGCATCAGGTTGTTCAAAGAAGAGTGTCAGCTGCCTCTGTGCAACACCCACAAGGCCCAGAGCAAGATTTACATGGGATCAGTTAATAGCTTGTGCTCCTAGCTGAACATCTGTGGGGAACTGGATGATGCCTGCAAAGTTCAGAACTCGGGTCCTGCAAACCTGGGATGTAAACCCATTCCATTAGTTTGTTTTCCTCCTAGCCAGCACCAGGCAGAGAAAATAATCTGACAGTTCAGAGATGAACAGTGACAACTTGGTAAAAAACACTTTGTAAGCACAGCTGAGCAGAGGGAAAGAGGAAGACTCCTGGGTCATTATCAGGGGGATGAGTCCATCTGTCGCCACCCACAACCCACAGTCCTGCAAGGCAGAAGTTTTATTTGTCTGCTGAAGAACAACTAGATTTTATTGAGCTCCTGCTGAAAAAAGATCAAGCTTCTCCAGCATTTTGGGGAAAGCACCAGATTTCATGTTCTACCACTTCCTGGACTTCAGGCAGGTCCTATCACAAAGCAGGAGGTAAGCCCTGAAAATCAGCAGAGAGGAATGCGGTCGAGGAAGTAATTTCTATCATCTCCTCTCCTGGTGTACAGCCAGACTTTGCATATGAAATTACAAAACATGAGACATTTTGCCTGCAGTAAAGCAAACTCTCCCACCCATCATGTGCTTCCCTGCATGTGGAGCAGGTCTTGGCTACCAGCGAGAATATCTCCTCTGGGGAATACAACATTTTGAGGAATATGAAACTTTCCCCTGTGCTTCAGCACATTATCATGCTTTTTTCTTGCTGGTAGAAGCCTGCCCAGCTATTTGGTTCCTTCCACTGTAATAACAAGGGAAGGAGTTCACATTGCATCGCATTCAAAGATGGAAGCCCAAAAGGGATGTTTAAATCACCTCACCTGACTTTTAAAATGCCTCTGATCAGGGAAGTCTCAGCCGGTTATCCCTATACTGTGGCAATCCGCATCCAAATGAAGCATCTTTTCCAAGAAAAGGGAAAGGACACAACCTTATCCTGAGACAACAGGTGGAGGAGCCACCCCTTTCTTTGGCAGCTTCTCCTCTTAAATCCCATCCAAAGCTTATTCCCAGTCGTTGGTTCCTGCCATCATCACTCACTTGCCAAGAGCATTTTGTACCTGAGCTGTTTAAAGGGTGTAAACACTTGCGCACTAGGATTGAAGACACTTCTCAAATCTTTTTGATCAACTAGATTAACGTGGCTTGCTCTCTCTGCACCCCCAGCCCACCACTAACTTTTTCAAATGCCTCCAAATACCCACATGAACCAGGGCAACACAGAGGGGACACCAGCCCTCCCCCAACACATGCATCCTTATAAACACAGCTGGTTTCCTGGAGGTCAACTCATTTTATGGATAAACCCCGTATTTTTCCCATGCAGATGTGCAGAGAACAGATTCCCATGCCCTGCAGCCCCTTTTTGCTGCAAAGGGCTCATAGTTTACCAATAAAAAAAAAAAAAATCAAAAAAAAAAAAAAAAAAAAAAAAAAAAAAAAAAAAAAATCAAAAAAACCCACCCAAACAGGTAACAATAGCTACTGGGACCTCACCAGCCTTCAGACTTTGAGTCAGCTCTCAAGTCAGCAGAAAGTTCACACATATTTCCAAATAACTAATGGAAATATTGCGTGCACAGGCCCCCAAAAGCAACACTTCTGCCAGATGATGATTCCTTGCTATTGGTTAATCCATTTCAGAGCTGTCATTTTTAACCTGCATGTTGTGCAACACTAACCCTTCCCTAATTCAAATTTACATGACAAAAAAAAAAAAGACACTCCCCATTTCTCACTCTTGGTTAAAAGAATTGCAAATCGGGCTTTTCATCATTCGGCTCAACACCAGCAGCAGTCAAACTGGCTTCACCCAAGTTAAGTCTTCTTGCCTTTATTTTAAAATAGTGGTGTTTTATTAGCGCTTTTCCAGTCCTTTGGAATTTATCCAGTACTCAGAAAAGATTTCAATCAAAACGCAGCGAGCTAACAATCTCTTTGGCTGATTATTTTAGGATTCCTAGGTGCAAATTACCTACAACTGCTGATTTTAAGTGGCTTTGCTAGATGTCATAACATCCTCTCATCACTGTTGGTCTGGAAAGCAGCTCATCATTCCCATACAACACAAGTGTGTCACTTAACTCCTTCCTAAATACACTTTATAACTGAAGCTTGTATTTGTTTCCTTCTCTTTTCATCATCTTTTAAATTTTTGTCTCTGAAGAACTGCTTCCCCCTCTAATCAGGGCTGGCCTTTACTCAAACTTGCAATAACCAAATTGCCACATTTTGATATCTGCCTAAATCTTCCAACTGGCATTTCCACTGCTCCCCAGCTTTAACAGAGCTGCTTTTTCAAATCCCCCAGGCTACTGAGCTGGCCCTATGTGCCCGTATTAAATGCAACCCAGCCCACAGCTAGCCATCCCCAGGCAACCCCTAAAAGTCAACAAAATGACCCGACAGCTTCTCCTCTCCCCGAGAACTAATATCAACTTATTTTCCTTGGAGATTGACCAGAATACTAAAGATCTCCTTATCTTTCATTTAAGGTTTAGAGGATGGTCACGTTACCAGTCAAGTACTACTTTGGCACAAATAACTGTCTCTTTTTGAGGAGTTAAAAAGAGGTCGGAGTTGGAACAAAGCAGGTTTGATCTCTCAAGCTATTCTCTGCCAGCTGAGCTGTAGCCACTCCTATTCCCACTTACTGGCTGCAGAAAGCCAGCCCCGGGGAGCCCATGCAAGGCAAAGTGCTAGCACTCAAACCAGCAGGAAAAGCAACCGCTCCAGCAGCCTGTCCATATCTCCGACAGCTGGGAAGCTCACAGATCATACAGTCTGATTTTCTACACAACACAAGCAGACAACTTCATCCAAGTAAGGAGCATTCATCTTGCCTGGTGGTTACATCCACCGTTTTCCTTGGCATTTTCTTTGTACCGAAGCATACGTGGCAGTGAGGTCAGCTACGAGGTGAGGACAGAGTTACGGTGCCTTGCTCTGAGCGTGGCACGTACTAGTTCTTTCTGCTTCCCGCTTGGCCAGGATTTAAGCTTAAATGTCCTTGAAGTCTGGCAAGGCACCGCTGAGCAGTCCTGCTCTCATCTCCCCGCTCTTTCAAGACGTTTAATGCCAGAACGCAAAAAGCTAAGTCACTGAGTAGTTGAAGAAATGTCATTGAGTAGCTAAAGGTTTCAATTAGCAATAAAGCATGTTTTAAAACCAACAGTTACAATTCTCTAAGTAGTCAAAAAAGGGATCTCATAATAACATTTTACAGCAAAAAGTTCCGAACATAAAAACATCATTAAAGTATATTCAGTACCCGAGATTCACTGATATTTTTCAAAAGCTGTTTGGAATCCATTTGCTCATAGCAACCCTTGCGGTAATTGTATTAAAACATGATTTTTAAGAGCCGGAGCTTCTGTGTCCCTGCTGCTTATTCCTTTATTGAAGTCCTAATCCTCGTTCAGTTACTATGGAAATGGTTAAATCAGAGCCCAAACAGCATGACTTCCCCTAAGAAACAAACCCAAGGAACAAAACTGCCTCAGAAAATTAAACACTGTGGTTTATGTCCATGCCGCCAAAAAATAACTTCACGTTTCCATAAGGAAAGGTATTTTTATTTTTTTTTAATAATTGTGTTGTTTATATAGTAAACAAGCACACGTATTTCTTCCCTTCAAATAAGCCAAAATGACTCCTCAATGGCTGTGGTTTGCTGTTTTCACTAGACCTATTATCACGATTTCAGAATCTGAATGTTTGCATTGCAAACACTGCATAGCAAAGACTGGAGAACGTTTCTGGCAGCAAGTCGCCGTCCCCCCCGTGAAATTAGTGACACAGATATTCCCCTAAGATCAGAACTACAAACTTTTTGCTGAAGAAAATGCATATATGAAAACCCGTGAGTTTCAATTAGACGTAGAAAGCTTGAGGGGAAAGAAATAAGCACTTTTGAGCGGGAAGAACAAGACGTTTCAAAGTCAAAACACTTTCCAGGCAACGAAGAGCTGGAAAAGCCATGAAGAAGATTCTCCATTCAAACATGGTAGAAATGTCACTAACTCCTTTCCATGTAGGACACTGTCAATGCAAAAAATCTAAACTGCACAGAACAAGAGCACTGAGGGTTGCTGGCTGAGCCAACTTTGTGAACGATGGGCATGTGCATGCATCAGTGTGGCCAGCATTAGGCAATCACTAGAGGCGCTCTTGGTGGTCATTAGAGGTGCTCTGCCTCTGCCTTCAGATCTGGTGTGAATGGTGAGTCTTCTCCCAATCCCTGTGCCAAGAATCTCCCATAATCCTCCCTATTAACGCAAAACGCTAACGTGAGGATTTCCTTCACGTGAACGCGCCCTCCGCAGAGAAGCCGCAGCCCTGGTGTGAAAGCCACAGCGCGCTGCTACGAAATATCTTAGGGAGGCAGCAGGGAACCTCACCATGCTAGCAGGGAAAGGCTCACTCCTTGAGCGAGAACAGATGGAGCTGCCAATTTGCAGAAGCATCAAATAGTTAACATTTGAGAGGTAGGGTGGTGCTCTTCTGAGGTCTGACTCTAAAATCGTTTTTCCCCCCGGGGAAATCTGCAGAACCAGAGCCATTCACTTAAATGCAGCAAATGCTCATTAGGGACCACTTACTTCCCAGTCTGCAAAGACGCAGGAGGACCATCCATCCTTGGAATGGCAGGGCAAATGCATCTGAAGATGGGCAGTAAAGCATCACTCCCTAACACCCACTAACACGAGTGCTGGTATCAGCAGTGGAAAGTTTTGTGGGTTTTGTAGGCTGTGTTCAGAGCTCTGACACGTTTGAGAAGATACAGCCAGCTTTTCTGAAAAAGCAATGCTGGCAGCAGGCAGAGCAGCAGCAGGCAGAGCAGACCATTACAGCTTGTTCTACCAACGACAAAACTTCTTTATTTGAATCTGACAGGTTAACGTGCTTGCAAGAGTCATCCTGTCCTCCAATAAAAGCCGTTGATTTACAGGACACAACACTCAGGAATCGGCTGAATCTCTACCCAAAAAGGGGTTTTAACTCAAGAATTAATTATGTTTGTGGCAGAGAAACAATGTGCCTGTTTTAACCCCTGTCACATGTTCACTGTCACATAATTATTTTCTACTATCAGGAGAAAAAAATAAAATAAAACAATGAAAAAAAAAAAAAACCACCTGCTAGCCATAATCCAGTGGAGAAGCCACCACTGCAGGCAAGACAATGTTCCAGTTATCTTGTTTTCCTCTGGGGTGGGAGGGAAAAGAGGGTCAGGCAGGCTTTGTCAGATTTTAGAGGCATTTCAGTGAGTTAATTTGTCACTTCTGTTGCTCTCAGATAAAAGCAGAAACAAAACCAAACGCTACACATGGCCAGTTTCATTTCTCCAAGGAGAAAAAAAAAAAAAAAGAGGGGGCAGGGGGGAATGAGAGAGACTACAACCAGCTTTGTGTTTACACACCAAGACCTTCTTGAAAGGTTAAAGGTTTGCTGCAGCCAAGAAGCTCCACACATGAATTTTACCAATCCCTTTTTTTTTTAAGTTAGATAAACTACCATTTCACAAATGTAAATCACAGCTTTGCACACGCTAATTAAGCAGTGCTGCTTGGGCAAAGACTAATCTAACTCTGCATTTTTGGAGCTGATGATTAACCTATTTTCTGGAGGTCATTTTTTCCTCTTCATAAATTAAACAAAAAAGCCCATTGAAAAGCAATGCCAGCCGGCCATGCAGCTCTCCATCTATCCTACCATGGGTTTTTCTTTGCTTTTTTTTGCATTCGACTTTCTTCTCCAAAGCAAAAAGCTGCTGGGAAAACGTGACAGAGATCACCAGGACCATCCCATCTTCATTAGTATTATAAATTATTTGCTATGAGAGGACTAAATTTTAAAAGAAAATTCCTCAACTAACAACAATCTTATGTTTGTAGGGCGAAAGGAAGGCCCGGCCATTCATTCAGGCTTTTTACGACACACATTATTTCAGCAACAAGATTTTAATTTCCTCATCCGTGAAATTGGGATGGTTCAAAGCCACCCGAGAGGGATGCCGGGAGGCTCAAGGAACACACAGGCTTTGCAAATAACTCAACAATTTCATAGATGGTGCAACCCAGGTATTTACAGTCCAGCACCAAAGTAATTGGGCGTTGCAGGGAGACACGGCATTAATAACTGCAGTTTCTCTTTTGTGATTCACGCAAGGTCATGGCCACAGGGGACTCCCAAGACATGGACCAAACTGGCTGAGAACAAAACCCTTAAGTGGAAAACAAAATAGTTCCTTGCAGAAGTATGGACACAAAGCCTCCTTTGACCCTTTCCTTCTCCATACACCACAATCCTCCACCAGGCTGTGGTGGATGATAGAATCACAGAATCATTTTGGTTGGAAAAGACCCTTAAGTTCATGTAGTCCAACCGTTAACCTAACACTGCCACAGCCACCACTAAACTGTGTCCCTCAGCACCACACCTACACGGATTTTAAATACCTTCCAGGATGGTGACTCAACCCCTTCCCTGGGCAGCCTGTTTCAGTGCTTGATAACCCTTTTGGTGAAGGAATTTTTCCTGATATCCAGTCTAAACCTCCCCTGGCACAGCTTGAGGCCATTTCCTCTTGTCCCATTGCTTGTTACTTGGAAAAAGAGACCAACACCCACCTCTCTGCACCCTCTTTCAGGGAGTTGTAGAGAATAAGGTCTCCCCTCAGCCTCCTTTTCTGCAGTTCCCTCAGCTGCTCCTCACAGGACTTGTGCTCCAGACCCTGCACCAGCTTTGCTGCTCTTCTCTGGACACACTCCAGCACCTCAATCTTCTTGTAATGAGGGGGCCCAAAATCCAAAATCAAACACAGTATTTACAGTGCAGCCTCACCAAGGCTGAGCAAGGGGGATGATCACTGCCCTAAGTCCTCCAGGCCACACTGTATCTCATACAAAACTACTTCTCTCCTTCTGATGGCAGGGGAGGGGCAGTGCCGAGCCACCTACAGCCACCACAAAGCATCTGCCCACCTGATATTTCAGGATTGGGTTGAAAACTCAGTTCAGTTCAGGGCCTCGTGTTTTTTGGATAAGAAACAAATATTTTCACTCAAACTCTGTATCTTTAGCTCATCAAACTGGGCAGTAACCCCGGTGTTGGGACACTAAATCCTGACCTGCTGCTGACTTGTTTTACAACAGAACAACCTAACATTCACTTTTCCAAAGAGGCTGAAACATGGGGAAGACAGTAGCACGAAGTATCAAGTCCTCAAAAGCTGAACTTTGCATTATTTTTTTCAAACAGCACCAAATGCGAGTGGTTCCCCATATTGCTGTGTCTCTGGTTTTAATTTATTTTTATTTTAAAAATCTGACAACCTTTATGAACGTTTAATTGTTCATTCATACGCCACGTGAGATGCTGAAACCCCTGCAGTATAGTAGCAGCACACCAACAATCCAGACAAGGGAGTCAGCAGCAAGTATGACCCCAAGCAAGCAGCATGGAAATTTGGCATCAGTACCCGACATGGAAAACGGGCAAATCAGAGTAGATGGTTAATGGGAACATTAAGGGCTCTTCAACGGGAGGTCAACAAGAACCTCGGCTATTTGTCTCATTGGGAAACTGCCTGGAGAAAGGCTGAATTCCCCAGCGTCATGGGGGAACTGCTGCAGATACATCCAGAGAAGAGCAGCACGGTCTGACCGCTCACATGGGGACGTCCCTGTCAGGAAATGCAGCAGCGGTGCCTCACCGTACGGAGCAGGAGGAGCTCAGACATACCCACAGGATGCACACTGCAGCTCCAAACAAGCATGTTTTCCCATAGATGGGTCTAATTTCTACCTCTCTGAAACAGCTCTAAGGCAAGGAGAATAACGTTTCGTGAGGGGAAAAAAACAAGCCCTGCGAAAAAAAAAAAAAAAAAAAAAAAAAAAGGCAAAAATGCAGCTTTTGCTGGCCTTGTCTCCAAATTCTTCACACGGTCACAACTACTCAGAAATTAAATGGGAAGGGAGAAATGCTCCTCTTCCACCTGCATCAAGGCTGCAGGAGGGAACGAGCACAGCTTCCCCAAAGCCAAGCACGGCCTGATTAACGCTCAAATCGTGTGGAACAAAAATGTTTTACCCATCCATCTGCTCAAAGCCTGCGCTGAGTAATCCCGACCACACGACACGCGATGCATTTTGCCAACGGGGTCAATTATGTCATTCTCTCACCACCGTCTTTTGGAGAGACAGCGGTTAAGAGATGGGAAACCTTTTGTGCCACTGTTACTAATTGCTGCTGGTTTCAGGACAGGAGGGATTCCCCCAGCTTCCCCAGGTCATAGAAGCTCTGCAGATCCCTGCCTGACTCGTAGCAGGTGGTCAGGATCCACGCTGCTCTTTATCCACCTGCAACTCACAGCAAGACCAGCCGCCCCTCGAGTGCTGAGGGGATTCATGTCAGAGCAACACAGGTGGGTGCACTGAAGAAAAGCAAGTTTGAGGGAGTCCAGCATTGCCCAAAGATGAACAGGAGCACTGCACCACAGAGAACACTTGCTGGAAAACCTCAGTCTCGAGTGCGTTTCAGATTCATTGAATCAATTATTCTGGATGCCTCTGTGCCAGCTCCATGTGTTTTCACTCAAAATAATCCCATCACACTCCATACCTGGAGACAGGCTGTCCCAGGCTTAAAAATAAATATATCTCAGCTCCTGCCTTGGTCAGAAGCCTCCTTTCAACCTGTCCCCATTCCCATCCAAGGGGGCCATGCCAGAGCCCCCCTGTATCCCCAATCCTCCATCCATCCCCACCAGACTCACCTCCCCATCACCAGCGCTCACCTCACCCATGGGAAACCACTTCAAGGGCTTACTCTCCCACAGAAATTAAACCAAACCAACAGAACAAAAAGAAAAAAAAAATAAATAAAAGCCAGTTAGATTCCTGAACCAGTTCATGGTGGGGTCAAACACATGCCAGCACAGGCAGGATGCAGCCACAGTAGGATCCACTCGGACGGGTGTAAAAGTTTGTTAAACTCCACAGCCTACAGCCACAGTTTCACAGATGCACAAAAGCCAGCACTTAAACAAAGGTCTTGCCATCCTCCTCCCCACCCCTCCTTGTTTGCAAGGTCTCCCTGTGAACCTGATCCAGGAATCGAAGCAGAGAAACCAAGCGTTTCCTTTTTCCTGCTGGGTTAGTTTTAACCTGGCTCGATTTGTTTTAACCTCAGCTCACCAGAGGGAGGGCAGACACAGCAGCTAAAGCAGGACCGCTTTCTTCCCCCATAGCATTGGCTTATGTGTGTATGGCAGCATCTTGGGAACTACAGCCAAAGCAAAATACTTGCATTTATTTGGCTCCCTTGCACAAAACCTGTCAAACAGTGCGTGGAGGAGACAGCTGTGACTGTCACTGTTTCCAGCAAGGAGCTGTGAAGAAGCAGACATGAATTTGAGTCTTGACTATAACCACCAACTCTGCACATCCCTAAAGGAAACAAAGAGATCCACCTTCCTACAAAAGCCAGCATAGCTCCTTATTTCACAGCACTGCCATCAGGGATGGACAAACAAAACACTATTCACCTGCAAGCTTTTACTTCCCATCCTTCTGTTGTGTACAGCACTGTTTTAAGTAATTATATATCAGCACTCCCTTACTCCCAGACTTTATTTCCCAGCCCTTCCTAACCACATAGAAAAAAAAAAAAAAAAAAAAAAACAAAACACCCAA